TGCACTTTTACAACCGACAATGATCCAAAACACACATCTAAGGCCACTGTTGCATTTCTGAATGCAAGAAGAACAGGGTGAAAGTTATTCAGTGGCCACGTATGCCTCCTGATCTGAACTCAATTGAACACCTATGGGAAATTCTGCAGAGACAAGTTGAGCATCACTCTCCACATAGCATTCAGGCTCTAAAAGAGGTCGTTCTTGAATCGAAGATATTAAGCTTATTTTCATGTAATGAGCTAAACAAATGTTCTATAAAACTCAGTTTTGTCAACATTTTTAAAATTGTTCTTTTGTTCGAGATATTGTTTAAAATCTCTTTGAAAAAGGTGTACTCATTTATGCTGAGCACTGTCTATATATTTACATACAGTGTTCAGCATAAATACACCCCAACAGATTTGTCAGAAAACCTTTACTTTCAGAATCAACATTTTCTTTGGGACACTATACTACAAAATACTACCACAAATATGGCCCAAGGATTGCAAACAGGGTTTGTTGATTTGCGCACACAAAAACTTATTTTTCTTTACAAATTCTTTTAAAACCATGTTGCAAAAATAAATACACCCCAAACAAAGTCTTGGGAGGAAAACTAAACTTTAGTCAACAAAATCCTAATTAACAAGAATTCAACTACAGTTGAAGAGAAACCACTTGCCATTCCATGCTGTCAGCAATGGCCCCACATGGAAGAGAAATGTCACAAGGCCTGGGAAAGATCATTTCTTTACACAAAAAAGGTGACGGCTGATCAGCAAAGGTTTACTTTACAGTCAGAATACTGTAGCAAGTGATACAAAATTTAACAAAAGGTGGAACTGCAACCATCTCGGAGTTGTTCAGGCTGTCCACGGAAGTTAACACCTCCACAGGAGCGTCTTCTGATGAGAAGGGTTGAAGAAAATCACCATGCAAGTTCACTGCAGTTAGCTAAAGTACAAAGCTAAACTGGGGTGATGGTTTCCCGTGACACAATATCGTACACAGCAGAGGAATGGCATGCATGGATATCGTCCAGGAAGGAAGCCTCTCCTAAAGCCCATTTACAAAAAAAGCCCACTTAGAATTTGCCAGGGCCTATGCTGAAAAAGAAGACGACTACTTGGACTCTGTACTCTGGCATGATGAGACCAAGATAAATATTTTTGGAACGGATTGCTTCAAAACTGTATGGCGTGAGGAGTACAAAGAAAAATGCATGATGCCTACAGTGAAACATGATTGTGGCAGTGGCCTTCTGTGGGGCTGCATGAGTGCTGCTGGTGTAGGGGAGCTGCATTTCATTGATGATATCATGAATTCACAGATGTACTGCTCTATATTGAAAGAGAAGATGCTACCATCACTCCGTGTCCTTGGTTGTTGTGCACTTTTCCAACAGGACAATGATCCAAAACACACATCTAAGGCCACTGTTGCATTTCTGAAGAACAGGGTGAAATGATTCAGTGGCTAAGTATGTCTCCTGATCTAAACCCAGTCAGACACCTATGGGGAATTCTGAAGAGACAAGCTGAGCATCACTCTCCATCCAACATCCAGGGTCTAAAAGAGGTTGTTCTTAAAGAATGGAAAAAGATAGATGTTGCAAAATGTCTCCAACTTGTTCATTCCAGGCCTAGAAGACTTGGTGTTGTCCTTACAAATCATAGAGGTCATACAAAATACTAGATCAGGCCTTGAAATTTCCACTCGCCTGCTTGCCAATGGCGAGTGGAAATTATGGTGGGGGTGAGTGTGTGTCCCCCAGGGCAGTCTTGCTGAGCAGGCTCGGAGCTCAGGCCGGATCTGTCATTTGCACTGGGAGCCGTCAGACTGCTCAATAGCTGAGCGCAGTGAAAGCAAAGGAAGGAGTGTGTGCTATGCTGTCTGCCTCCCCCTAGAGTGTGTGTGTGTGTTTGTGTATGCATGTTGTGTATGCATGTATGTACATGTGTGTGTATTTCTGTGTATGTACAAGTATCTGTGTGTATGCGTGTCTACATGTGTGTCTGTGCGCGTGTGTGTATGTACATGTCTGTGAGTGTGTACAGGTGTCTCTGTTTGTGTGTGTTTGTTGGTGGCGAGTAACTCTTAAGGCCTAGCTAGTAGCTCAGGACTTGAAATTTTAAGCCCGGTACTAGATGATGTAGGTTTTGTTGTGGGGTGTATTAATTTTTGCATCATTTGATTACAACTGAAGATTTTTTAATATAAAGTTATATTAACCTTACTTTCATGTAATGCTCTAAACAAATGTTCTATAAAATTCAGTTTTGTCAAAATTCTGGAAATTGTTTGTGTTGACAGATTAAATTCTTACTTTTCAAAAGGGGTGTACTCATTTATGCTGAACACTGTTTATCAGGGCTCAAAATTTCAAGTCCTGAGCTAATAACCAGGCCTTAAAAGTTACTCGCCACCAGTTACCCCACCCAACCCCTACCCTGTCCTGCCCCTAATCAGACCTTCGTAAATTATCTCATGAAATGACACGGTTAAAGGTTTTATGCAGAATAGAGTTACAAAAATAAAAATGAACAACAAATTTAACATTATTAACATAGAGGATATGTTTACATTGCTTCATATCATGTCCTACTCCTTCTCCAGTCCCATCTCCCCATCCTAGGTCCTCCTCTTACAGTCCCATCACCCCCATCCCATGTCTTCCCTTTACCATCAAAGTCCCAACAGAAAGAGCCCTCCAGCTGTGCTGGAACTGTGTGTGGAGGAGGAAAGCAGTGAACAGGTGTGGCAGGACAGGGATGGCAGGGAGGAGTGAAAGGGAAGACCGAAGCAGAATAGATCTAGACCAGAGAGGAGAGGAGAGATTATCAGGGAAGGAAGTGTAGCTGCAGCCAGAGCACAGAGATCATTAACCTGACAGATGAGAACCAGCATGTCAGGAAGTGAATGTTGGTGCGACCAAGCTGCCCCGCACATGTCCCCCCAGTGAGAGACCTGGACAGCATGGAAAACAAGGCTGAGGGGAGAAAAATATTACGGTTGATTGGGGAGAGGAATGGGGTAATGGATGGGGTGATTGGTGCACAGGTCCGGGACATGGAGTGCTGGGATCTGTCTACCCGGCTGCCTAATGGTGGAGCCGACTGACACTGACTCGCCCCCATGTTATTTCCACTCACCAAATGCGACCAGGCGAATGGAAATTTTGAGATCGAGAGATATAAACACAAGCACAGACATAGACGTGTATGTAAACCTACACACACACTTCATGCCTAACCCAACCCCTAATCTGATTCAATCTAATGTTATTGCCCAATTGCTCCTTTAGTTTAAAAAAGCTAAACACATTCTTGGTACATCGAAACAAAAATGTTATTCAATGTTTTACTAGTTCTCTGTCTAAAGTATACAGTGTGTACTGTATAAAAGGTGTGTGTGTAGTCTGTTCCCTGCCCTCTACAGAGAAGCCACTGCTTCCTCAGAGAGGTCTGACACCATCCTGCTGAGTTTGACTTCTCCCATTAGCAGGGAGCATGAGTTTTGTAAATTGCAGAGCTTTAGGTGTCACCCTGTATTGGGCATGTCAGACCTCTGAAGAGGTAGGTTAGACCCACTCTGTTGAGCTTATACTGTACTTACTGGTCTCCGTTCAAGAGGTGTGTCCTCACTTTTTTAATCAACCAAATTTTTAATCAAGTGAGGGGAGGCTATAACTTCCATCAGCTTTTTATTTCTTTAAAATGTGTGGGTAGAAGGGACCTGTTTTATCTCTTAATGTGAAGAAAAGTCCATATTGCAAAATCCAAGGTGGTGCCTTGAAAGGAAAGGACCTCGAGGCTGAATACAGAAAGGTACCTTGGGAATTTGATGTTTGGTGTGGCATTCTTGAGTTCACTTTACCTTCCAGCTTTATTGCTGTCTGACATGTTTTACCAGGGAAGTGAGAAAAATAATCTGCAACAGAGACACAGAGTGAGGGGAAATCACTCTAAGGAAACCCTAGATAACCGGAACAACAAGATATAGGTTCTAATCTTTCCCACTATATCTATGGACAAACTAACCTCTACAAGTACTGGGAGTTTGGTCACCAGATAAGGTCATCCCCTCCCCCCCCCCCACACCAGCTGCTTTTACGTTTTACTTAGCAAGGTGCAGATGATATTTTAGACCTATATGTCTCAAGATCCATCGATCATTGCCATTTCCTTCAATTAACAATTTAGAACAAAAAAAAAAAAAAAAAAGCTTTTGCAGGACAAAGCTTTAATACCAGACAGTCATAATATAAAAGCTACTGTGCATTGGCAACAGCACTAATATTGAGTTTAGTCCTGAAACCTTTTTTGTAAAAAGAGCAAATTTATTTGAGAAATAATGTACTGTTATTTCTAAAGTAAAAAAAAAAATAATAATAATACATGTTTAACTGCTTTGGAATCCAAACAATACTCCTGCTTAATTTGCGTTAAGTTAAACCTACAAACCTGTCCTTTTAATTACTGTTCGTGTCATCAAAAATATTCATCTATTCATACATACACAAATGTACATTTTTTTTTGCAAACAGGAAGTAGCCATAAATAAAACTTTATTCTTCAATTTCATTTACAAGCTACCAGGAGCCACGTTGTCAAACATGGCACCAGATAATTAAAATGGCTGCTGTCACAAAGAATAAACCCATACTCTAAGAAAGGGGAGAAAAAAAAAAAAAAAAAACAGCTGTTGATAAAATGAGGTTTTTGTAGGTAAAAGCTATGTAATACTGTCACAGAAAAGTGGCAAAGCGGTCTCGCCATCGATATTTTGGTTGCATTGTTTCTGTTTAAAATGGAAGCCGAGGGCCATGCGTTTCTCAGCTGGGTTTGCAGTCTGGCTAAAAGTCTGTACAGTCATTTTGTCTTTAGCAGTTTGTAACATAAAAAAGTTAAAAACTATAGCAGCAACAAAGCAAACCTTGTCACGGGAAGGCATGAGTTAAAAAAAAAAAAAACCTAAAAGAAAGTCTATACAATGTGCGTGAGAAGGTGCATAATTTATCTCCCGTCAGCTGGAGTTCGGCTAAGTGACAACATAATTCGGGAAAAACGTTCACACAGCTCGTGCGTGGAAAAGTTGGGTAGCTTTGGCAGGTCGTTGAAGCCTTTAATTTCCGTTGAACAATCCAGCAGTTTTGGCAGGAAGTCTGTAAGCCTTTCTTGCAAAGAGGCTGGAAATAGATGAAAATACATTGTCAGTTTAGATTTAAAAGACCTTTCTAGGAAAAATAATCAACAGTACGGTTTTGATGATTTAAAGGGCAATACCACACACAGACCAATGGGGTTGACAGCCTGTAACATTGTCCGGCTTTTCTCAATGCTAACATGGCACAGTATTGTATCTAGCCAAGTGTGGAGGGAATGTAGCCTTTTCAATTATTTTTTTTAAGTGCAGATATTTGATATAAAATTCCTGGTATGAACAATCTTATTAATTACTATTAACATTTTAGAACCCTAATGTTTGTGTATAATTAAGAACCTCCTGGAACAAAAATAAATTATATTGCAGTTCACCAGTCCTCCGAATGGTGGATGTATTAGTTTCTTTTAGCTGAAGTATATTTTTGCAAGTACAGAAAAATACCTGTTGATCTTGCCAGAAATGCATTTCAAAATCTCATTTAGATCTCAAAAAACATTATTGGCCTTCCAAGCTAACTTCTTTAAACTACAGAACTCCTTTCCCTATGTTAAGGAGATGGAGAAGGGGTTCTCCAGCCTTGTCTTGGGGAGTCAATGTAGCTCCTCCAAAGATACAATATAATGAGTGTGCCTTGTCATTCAGACATGAAGTGTGTTACTGGCAGGATCATCCAGTGGGGAAAAAAAAAAATCTAATAACACATGTACAGACTGGTAAGTTGCAATGTATACAGTTTTTATTCCTGGGGTTACAGAACCCCAACTCCAAGAAAGTTGGGGCGCTGTGTAAAATCTACATAAAAACAGAATGCAATTATTTGCAAAATTTCATAAAGCTATATTTTATTCACAATTAAAAAAAATATCAGATGTTTAAACTGAGAAAATTTACCATTTTAAGTAAAAAAAAATAAATAAATAAATAAAAAGCATTTAAAAATGTGAAATTAATGGCAGCAACACGTCTCAAAAAAGTTGGGACAAGGCCATGGTTACCATGGTGTAGCATCCCCACTTCTTTTAAGCACCACTCTGTAAATGTCTGGGAACTGAGGAGACCAGTTGCTGGAATTTTGGGAGAGGAATGTTGTCTCATTCTTGCCTAATAGAGGATTATAACTGCTGAACAGTTCTGGGTCTTTGTCATATTTTTGGTTTCAAGATGCAAACATTTTTATTTGGTGAAAGATCTGGACTGCAGGTCAGTTAACCACCCGGACTCTTTTCTGCTACGAAGCCATGCTGTTGTCATTAATGCAGTATGCGGTTTAGCATTGTCCTGCTAAAATATGCAAGGCATTCCCTGAAAAAATCACCAAGAAGGTAGCATTTGCTGCTTTAAAACCTGGACATACTGTATCTTTGAGGAGTGATGGTGCCTTTCTAGAAGTTCAAGCTGCCCATTCCATATGAACTAATGCACCTCCATACCATCAGAGATGCAGACTTGTGAAATGAGTAGCGATAACAAGCCGAAAGATCCCCCCCCCCCTTTAATCCAAAGTACACGGCACCCAATGATTGCCAAAAAGAATGGTAAATTTCAATTTGTTTGACCACAGAACAATTTTCCACCTGGCAAAGTCCATTTTAAATGAGCTATGGCCCAGAGAAGATGGCAGCTTTTATGCAGCATGTTCAGCCATGGATTTTTCTTTGCATGATGTACCTTTAAAGTGATATTTAAAAAAAATAAAATAAAAACACCTTGTCATACTTACCTGCTCTGCGCAATGGTTTAGCACAGAGCAGCCCTGATCCCAACTTCTTTCATCCCCCCACCAGCGCTCTTAGCCCCTTCCCCCCCTTAGTGCCCCCAGAGCAAGTCGCAGGCTCTGGGGGCACTCGTGTGCTCGCTTCCGAACCCTGCTCTGTGCATGGTTCAGTCACAGATTCCTGTGAATGGATGATGCAGCTGTTCAGGTGGAGCCCCGCATTAGTCTCGCCAAAATTTAAAATGTGACAGTGGCTGCGGAGAAGAGGGAGTGCTGATGCATAATAACATGTTACAGCCTAAATACAGGTTTAAAGTGACGTGTTATGTATGGTGAATTTATGTTTTAAAGTGATTATAAATGCATTTTTTTTTTTAAACATGTTATACTTACCTCCTCCACTTCTCAGGCCCCCACTGGCTCTCCTGGCCCCTCCCCCCTGCCCCCACAGCAAGTGGCTTGCTAAAGGGGACCCAATCAGGCTTGTTCCCACGTTGCTGCCCTGCGTGTCAACTCCCTCACAGAGCCGTCTTCACATTGGCTCACTGGAAGCCAATGAGGGAGGAGAGTCCCCAGAGCATATTGCTGGATCATGACAGGGCTTAGGTAAGTATTAGGGTGGGTGGGTGGGAACTGCTGCACACAGAAGGTTTTTGGTTCTATGCATGAAGGTAAAAAAAAACCTTGAGCCTTTACAACCGCTTTATGCTTATGCAAAGGTAAATCAGCCTATACTCATTTAAAACCTAATTAAACCTTTGGTTAAAATCTGGTGAATACATTCCAGGTGCAAGAAAGGAAAAGTTGTTCAATGGCTTACAGTTTATTTTCTTTCAAAAGCAATCACAGCTTGAGTAGAAAAGTCTGCCCCCTGCCAGCACCTTCAGAGTGGAACCGTTGCTTTCTGTATGGAGTGGTGGACTCATTCCAGAGGTCTGATCCACCTCCTACTGTGTCAGACCTATAGCTCTACAAGCAGCAAAGCTCATGCTCCTCTCTGATTGGAGAGTTTTGGCTTTAATTCAGTAAGGAGTTTGTCAGACCTCTGCAGAGAGACCACTGCTTCCCTACAGAGAAGAAGGGTCCCGACTCTACAGTATTCTGGCAGGAGACTAGCTTTTCTGCTAAAGATGTGGCTGGGTTTTAAAGAAAAACAACTGCAAGACCATTGTGTTATGCACGTGGAATGTACTTAGCTCATTTAAACTAATGTTTAAATTGGGCTGTAAGGTATAATTTGGGAGGCAAGATACACGAGTAGCTCTCTATATATCACAAATTATTTGGTTGTGGGTACTTACACTCCATTTCTTGTCCCAAGTATGAACACCAGCGATTCCTCATATCTTCTACAGCAATGATGTCCTTTTCCTCCATTTCATCAATCAGCAGCATGGGCAAGCATGGTACAATAAGTTCATTCATCAAAGTCAGCCCATTACAGACTTCCTCTACATCTCCAGACTCAAACATGGCTGCTGCTTTCTCATTTAGTTTCTTCAAGACAAAAAAAAAAAAGAGGTGAAACGAGGGGCCTCATTTATAATGAAATTCACTTTCAATCCATACCCTATTAAATTGTAAGCTCTTATGACCAGGGCTCACTTAATCCTCTTGTTTTTTATTGTATTGTAACTGTACTGTCAACAGTTGGAGCTATATAAATCCTGTATAATAATAATAATAATAATAATAAATAATAATGTGTATAGCCACCTTTAAGTTGTCAACTCTAGAAAAAAAAATCGCATTTTTAAAAAGTTAGGCTGAGCCAGTGTGGTTACCTCTAATGACTGCTACATAATATTCAGAGAACTGCTGGGGATGCTCAAATTATCAGTTGTAATGTGTTCCCCATACAGGCAGAGCTGTGATCATCTGGCTAGTGCTGCAGTGTCTTTCTGTCTTTTGCACTGAGTATAGTAGGTTGATCGCCCAGCATCTTCTACATTTTCCATTAAAAAAAAAAATAAAAAAATGGTATTCTTTTCAATGAATAGGGAGGGTGAATGTCATGATCTACCATCATTCAAATAGAGCACGTTATGTCCATTGAAAGCAATACAAGATGTTTTATGAATAGAGGAGGTTCTGAATGAGTATCAAGCTAAACTCACTTTAAGAGGTGGAAAGACGCTGCAGCTCCGTCCAGTGAGTTGGGGAATGGATTACCACTGTTTTTAGCATTCCTAACAACCCTCTAGATATTAGGGCGCAACCATTAGGGGGTAACCACAATAAAAATCAACTTTTCCTTGAGTTCAGCTTTAAGTCTTCATCGAAAGCACTGGAGATTCCACTGCTGGCTATTTCCAAGTCTAAGCAAAGGCCAGGATCTGGATGAGGCTCAGGAAATGACTGGTTGCTTCAGCCTGAACAGCAAATTACTTCTGTCTACCTACAACTATTACTCAGATCCAGAAGCAGTTATCTGCTGAAACTCAGAAACGGATGAAAGTATTTTCCTTACAGACCAGAGATCTTTATGGGCAATATAGGTTAGGGCATAGTGCAGTGGGAATGGATATTCTTAGTAAAGCTGGACATGCACCTTACAATCTTATTACATAATCTTTCTACAGCTGCATCTAGGTAGACAGGCGCTTATATTACTGCCATAGATCTCAGAGACTGAAGAATCTTGTGTATTGTTCACTTTACACTTTGGGTTCAATATAAGACACAATGGGATATGAGAGCTGGCCTTGAAAGGAAATATTTTATCATAAAAAAATATATATTTTTTTTTTTTTAAGAATTGCCTTAACTCTCAGTGCAGTACACCAGGTGCTACATTCACAGAATAGAAAAAGCTCAAACATTTGCCCTGACTTACCAGCAAACACTCTCTGCGATAGTGTGATATGAGCTCCTCATCGTGTCCTCTGTATAGGCCTCTGGACAGCAGCTCTTTGTTATACTGGTAGCCAAAGATAAGGTAGAGCAATGCTTCAACATAGCTGAAATCAAAAAGACAACACCGTTCTAAACAGACTTGCTGATTGGCAATTACAAAACAAACGCAAGTCAAGGTAAATGTGTTTCATATTATATAAACATTGAATTAAAATGGTAAGAACAGAGAAGATGATGCAGGTTAGCAGGCAGGTTTCAGAAATTCTGGATGAATCAGGCACCTATCCAGAGCAGATTTGACTTATTCATTAAGGGATTTGCTATGCTATTCTCAGATTCAGAAATCATCTGCCTGCAAACATATGCTACATTCTGTATAGTCTTCCAATGCATTTACCATCAATGCACTTGAGACTTTTCGCATTGCACATCATTTATCACAGCTGGACTTCAGTGAACACAGATGCTGTGTAGGAGGAAAATAAAAATAAGGAGTATAAGAACCTCTGTTCTTCCCAGTTGTAATGTTTTGTGACTGTTGCATGTATGTTTAATGGAAAACAAAAAACAAATTGTCAAGGTACAAACACACAGCCACAAGAGGGTCATACAGCATACATCCGTGCATAGTTCTCTGCCAGGTAAGCAAGGTGCAGCGTACAACCCACTGCCAGCAGCCTGTCAAAGTAATCAAAAGGCTAAAATACACAGCAACTGTATGTTGATGTACACACATCTAAGTGCTACTTGGCCACAGGGATTTATGTAGTGCCCAAGCAAAGACTGCAGCTGTATGCAAGTGCTTCTTGAATGTGCACATACACCACAGTACAGCTGCTGTATATTTCAGCCTGTCATGTATTTTGACAGGCTGCTGCACCTGAAACTCCTGGGTGGAGAATTATTTCAGAATGTATGCTTTAAAGTTCACCTTTGGGAATATGTAGCGTGTTCCCATAGCTGCAGCCACCCCCCACCCCTCCCTCTGACAGATAATACGGGGAGAAATTTCCCTGTACTGTCAGATTTGAAAACAGCGTGGCCGTGCAGGGCTCCATCCACACGGCCGTGTCATTCATTCATAGACTTCTGTGAATTAATGAACTGCAAGTCCCAACAGCCTTAGCAGCTGTCAGCTTGTAGATTTCAATGAACTACCACATCACAATGGAGTGCCGCGGTAGTTCATTGAAGCTTCCTGTCAGAATATCTGCTTAACCGTACATCTTATACGCAAGCAGATATTCTGACAGATCTGCAGGAGACCTGCATGGTATCAGTGATCTACTGATCGCAGGTGCAATGCATTCCAGGCTCCTTTGGACAAAAATAATAAAAATGCACATTTTTTTTAAGTGCAAAAAAATTAGCATTTATTATTTTTGTCCAAAAGGTGAAGTTATCCTTTAAGATCCTCTTGCAGCCATGTGCACGTACCCTTAAACCTGTGAAGTGAGTGCAGCAAATTAGTCACAAACATTGGTATCTGCATTTTTTTTCTCTTAACATTCCTACACGCCTCCAGAGACCCCCAAACCGGGGATGCTTAATATTAAAACTGCAGATCAGTCCCTCCAACTATGTATCAATAATTGTACTGCAAAGTTTCCGGAGATATGCAGATGGGATGTCAGAACACTGACTCTGGAATGAAAAGCACAATTTTGCATATTGAATACCATGGGTTCAAGAACTGGCTATTATGACAGGCTTACTTCACAGGAAAACTTTCCTGAGATAGACATGGAGGCCGCCGTGTCTTAAATTTAATTCTGCAAATAGCTTTTATATAGCACATTGTAAAGCCTAAAAAATATCTGTTCTTAAAAACTGTGGGAAGTTAATCAGAAAGTGGTTAGACTAAATTAGACACCAAGTTAGAACAACTAACATCTAGAACTTCTTTATAAGTTTGAATCTTTTTATTGGTAAAACGAGTGCATTTGTAGATTTGAAAACCTGGAAAACAATCAGCCTCATTACGTACACAGGCTCCTTATTGTAGATGTCTTGTAGAAGAAATACACCCACCTTTTGTTCTGAAACAGCTCCAAACCAATTAAGATGTACATTGTGGTGTCCCGGAAACTCTTGTACTCCTTGTGCCAGCGCTACAAAGAAATCATACAGACATGGTTGTGATGTGCTATTATAACATTAAGGGTACTTCTATACCCAGTAAAGTGACTGGCCACAGGTGATACACAGATGAAACAAACTAGCCTGCATATGTTGTACCAGTCTTTTTGCAATCTTCTCTACATCCGTTCAAAGTGCTGAATTTATAAAGCTTGGCAGAGTTCAGAAAAAAAGGGGTGGAGAGCTGCAATTGCACACTGCAGATCTCCGTGAGCTGATTGGAGGGAAGAGAGACACCCTCCTCCACACAGCTCACAGGAACAGAGCTGAGGCTGTCAATCTGCTGGAGGTCCCTCCCTTGTCACCATTTTCTCTTGGTGCCATGAAAACTTGTCAGAAGTGATTCATGCTGATAGCGGAGGAACGAGGAAGCAAACAGAGATGACACTTAGTGCTCTTAATTGAGACAAGTACACACTATAGATATGCTTTGTTCATATTTCATGTCTGAGGTTTACAACTACTTTAAGTTGGAAGATAAAAAAAATAAATAAAAGTGGCAAGCAGGCAGGCAGTTTATTGCAGAACAGAGATGTAATGTCTCTCCTGCAATAAAACAAACTCACCTGCCTGATAATCCTTTTTAGCATGATCAGGAGTTACATCATTCCAATCTGGATTGCCAAAGTTCCCAAATCCAGAATAAGAGCAGGTGAAAATGCCAGTGTCAGAGAGGAGGTGACGTTAAGTCTGTTTTAAAGTTTTTTTGGTTTTTTTTTTTTAATTCTCCTTTTGCCCTCCCTCTCCTGTGCTCTACACTGGGATAGATGAGTAATAGTCATTCCTCTCTTCACCACTGTCTTCACACAGATTACACAGAAAGAGGGGGCCTGTCTGACCATGCCTGTCAGACTATGGCATTTACTTGGTAGGTGGTCAAACTCTGGAGCCTAGACTGCAAAATCATATTTAGACACATTGCACATCTGCTATTATTATTATAATACAGTATTTATAAAGCGCCAATAGTTCGCTCAGCGCTGTACATTACAAAATAGCAGGAAAGTGGATAAAAGACCATAAGAATGAAGCCCGCTAGCACAATAGACTAAACATCTATTTCCTTGCCTTTAATTGAGCTTTGAAAAAAAAAATCTGAGACCAGATGTTTTCCTTTTCTTCATTAGGAATAGCTGGATTGCACCGTGTGTGCTTCAAGCTGTGATCAATGCAGGTAATCGCTGGCTGTGGGGACAGACAAGGATAGCTGTGGCCACCTCTGACCTGTCATTGAAATGTAATGGGAATTGCAATTGCAGCTAGCCGCTCACAGGGGGCTAACACAGCTGTGGGAATCCTAGTCACCTGAAGCTTTAGACTAATGATAAATACACAGCACTCTTGTGAATCATATCACACAATAAATCCGTTAAGTGACAACTGCAGTTACTGCAGCAAACAAAGCTCTGGACTATGAACATTGTCCTGATAGGGAGTCCCTTCCTGTGCTCGACTCCTACTGAGAGCCTGCTTAAACATTTCCCCGTGGCTAAAACATTCGGTTTACAGTATAGTACTATATGTGCACCAGAACCAGATTTGCACAGAGTGCATAGCTTCTCACTCTTGGTCTGATTTCCAATGCATGTGGGGTTATGTGAGGTTAAGATAAACAGAATAAAGATAGGTAAATAAGCAGTATTTAAAAATACATTTTATGATTCTGTAATGAAAATATTAAGGTGATTTTCACATAGTTTCCCGCAGTTGTGGTTTAAATGACATACAGCTATAGCTAAATTTTCATGAAGCCCAGTGTTCTATTGACTTGTCCATATGACTCTCCCAACCCTTACTTCTCTCGAAATAAGGATTACATACAGAAAAAATGGCAGGTGAAGTTGTGAAGATTGCTTGGTAGCATTTTATAGAAAAACAAAAAACAAAGGATCCAAAATGAATTTTAAATCAAGTGTGACTTGTGGCTTCACAATGTACCAAAAAAAATAAAATCACCTACCCTGTATTCTTCCATATTAACCTCATCAGGTTTGATCATTTCAAGCTTCGCCTGAGCCACTTTCATAATGTTGCGGCAACTGGGAAAAAAAACAAAAAAGTTTTTTTTTTCTTTTAACACTGTAGTTATTGCGCTTACAGTTAGATCCATATATATTTGGACACAAACGCAATTTTCACACTTTTGGCTCTCTATGCCACCAGAATTAAAACAAAACAATCCAAATGAATGTGAAGTGCAGACTTTCAGCTTTAATTCAAAAGGTTGAACATAAATATCAACCACAAATTTTAGGAGCTGCAACCATTTTTATACACAGTCCCTCCATTTACAGGGGCTCAAATGTAATTGTACAAATAAGTATATTATTATTATACTATAATCAAATAAAATGTTCATTTTTAATACTTTTGTTGAGAATCCTTTACTGGCAATGACTGCCTGAGGTCTGGAACCCATGGACATTACAAAAGACTGGGTTTCCTGCTTTGTGATGATTTGCCAGACTAACTACAGCTGTCTTCAGTTGTTTGTGGGTCTTTCTGCCTTTAGTTTTGCCTTCAGCAAGTGAAATGCATGTTCAACTGGGTTGTGCTTTGGATCATAAGCTGTTCCAAACCTTCTCCACACTATTTTCTTCCCGTCATTCTGGTATAGATTAATCTTAGTTTCATCCATTCAAAGAATGCTTTTCCAGAACTGGTCTGGTTTTTTTAGTTGTTTTTTGGCAAAGTCTAATCTGGCTTTTCTATTCTTCAGGCTTATGAATGGTTTGCACCTTGTGGTGAACCCTCTGTATTTGCTCTTGTGAAGTCTTCTCGATTGTAGACTTTGACAATGATACGTCCACCTCCTGGAGAGTGTCCTTCATTTGTCTGGATGTTGTGAATAGGTTTTTCTTTACCATAGAGAGGATCCTGTGATCATTCACCACTGTTGTCTTCCGTGGACGTCCATGCCTTTTTATGTTGCTGAGCTCACTAGTGTGTACTTCTTTCCTCAGAATGTACAAAACTGTTGATATGGCCACTCATAATGTTGCTGCTATCTCTCTGATGGATTTGTTTAGTTTTTGAAGCTTTACAATGGCCTGTTTCACTTGAACACATGATGTAGGTTCACAGCAGTAGATTCCAAATGCAAATACTACACTTAGAACTAACTCCAGACCTATTACCTGCTTAACTGATGAAGAAATAATGGAGTAGCCCACACCTGGCCATGAAACCGCTTTTGATTTAATTAACCAGTTACTTTTAGTCCCTTGAAAAAGGGGGGATGGCTACTCTTAAGAGCTGAAATTCCTAAACCCTCCAATTTGGATGTGCATACCCTCAAATTAAACCTGAGAGTGTGCACTTTTAGCCCATATTCATTATAGAACTATAGCTTGAATATGTTTTGGTAAATACCAGAAAAAACTAAAAATTGTGCCCGTGTCCAAATATATATGGACCCAACTGTATTACCTGTCTGTAAATACCTAAAGGAACCATTTATAACCGAGAATGGATACTGTAACCTACCATCTGCAGTTTTATTACCCAATAACGCAGCTTACATTTGTAGCCAATTCATAAACTGCCAACCGAAATATAAGCTTGTAGCAGCCCATGGAGAGAACTCTGTTCATAGAGCACAGGTTCACTTTTATAGGGCCAGTTCACACTAGCAATGCGGGCATTCCCATGCGGTGCGTTTTGACAGCCCAATCTTTTGAACGGGCTGCAAAACGCCATGGACCGTGCAAATAGTACTTGCACTACTTTTAATACTGCCCTGCACCAAACTGCATGGTGGCACAAGGTGATCTGGTGACTGTAACCACAATGGCATTAACAATACATTGGCACCTGAATGCAGATTGCAAGGGCAGTGCATCATGTCCTGGTGTGAACTGGTCCAACTAGCTTGCCTGCCAAATAATTTTTAATAGCAATCCGGAAACCCCCTCTGCCAGGTCTGAGATAGACTTCCCTGCAACTAAAGTATACTTGTAATGACAGAAATACAGAAGTTTCCACCGCTGACTCATTGTGAAGGTGCATTTTGCAGGGCTATCTATATATTTGCTTTACTGCTTAGTGGGTCACCTGACTGTTAGCTGATATGTACATACTTGTTTCAGGTCAATGACAACAGAAATGTCAGGCTACAAGGCCCACAGAGAGGTTTGTTCAATGTTAATTGATAGTCTTTTTTTTTAGCAGTCCAAAAAGAATACTACTTTTTCATTGCTGAGTCAGAATATAGGACAGGCCCTGTGGGAGCCTTAAACAACACAGAACTGACACCTCTTAACTGAGAGGCAGCATCTTTACCAAATTATTTATTCTGTAGACTGTAGATTTCTTAAAACAGAACTACAGTCAAAAATAAAAAGAATAAACATTCACTTTCAATGCAGAACTCTCGACAGCGCGGTACTTCTTTTCTGCCACAAGATGTCCTCTGTCTAATGGCCAACTTCATTCAACATATTTCCTCTAAGTATAGGTTGTTCTGGACCTGTTACTGGATGGTGAAAGGAGTAGCAGCACAGTGATGAGCTCATCAGCATGCAACCTGATAGCACATTACAAAAAAAAAAAAAGTGGGCACCTGCAGGATAATGTCATAATATACTAGTACATACTAGCACATTATGACAGATTTACCTTAAAACAAAGCTCTCCAGCGGCACACTGTCACCGCTGCCAGGGCTTCCATCTTCACCCGGTCTTCCTTCCAGGTTTGTGGGTTGTGACCATTTGAATGGCAGAGCTACAATGCATGCCATCCACTGAAGGCCCAGTGCACGTGTGCCAGTGATGTCACCTACTGCTGCTAAATAAATATCAACTAAACGGTGCATGTTTAGGAGATATATACTGTACCTACAGGTAAGCCTTATTGTAGGTTTACCTGTAGGTATAAATAAAAAAAAAAAAAAAACGGAGTTTACTACCACTTTAATTGGCTCCTTCTGTTTTATCTTCCTGTCATACTTCAGCCCTGCTGAACAAGGACCAAGGAGGCTGACATCGCTTGCATTTTAAAAAATACATTTATGTATTAATGATTATAGAGTTGTATTCAGTTAACGCAGTATTAAACCAAAATACAAACATTATATTGCAGATTACTAATTCTTACATGAAGTAGCTGCATTGGTTTTCTTTAGGCTTTCCTTTATTTTCTTCTGTTTATTCAGCCAGTAAATATGTTGTTTTTCAAAAGAACAAGCTATCCTGCAGATGTAGCAGTTAGAAGGTTGGGACAGACCATTTACCACTGACAGGGGTGCTTACAATGGTCTTTCTTTATGTAAAATCTTTATCCCAAAAGGAACTAAATTGTTGTTGTAACTGCTTATGAAGTGTGAGCTGCAGTTCAGCTTTAATTTGTTAGTGTACCCAAATCTGCTAGTACATCTAATGCCTAGTATACGTGGCAAGTTTTTTTTTTTTTGTTCAAGCGACTGGGCTGAACAAATAAAAAAAACGGATGAGGTCTCTTTACTAATTATGTGATGTTAGTACAGCAATGTCCCTGCAGTGCTATTGTTTCTTACAGGTGGACTGCCCTCACCAGAACACACCGGTCAGTGCTTGCAGCTATGGCTGAAAGCGCTATCAGCTGCTGGTTTTCCAGCAAGCCTGTTAAACAAAAGCCAGTCATGAGATTGGCTTCTGCCAGACAAGCACCTCACACAGGCCGAATGTCAGATGGTTTCTACTGTATAAGCGGATTTTGGCTGATACTTGGCCCGTGTGTGTGTGTGTGAGGCTTTACACTCTCCCCAGAATAACAATTCTGCCATCCAAAAATACCCTTGTGCCCTGTCATCCAGAGTGGAGACACTCTAATATAGGGGGTGTGTTACTGGCCAGATCACCAGGTTAACAAAGCCTTAAAAAGGAAAACTAATGCAGCCACTCCATGCAATGTTTGGTAAGCCGCAATACAATTTTGGATTTGGGGGTTTAAGACTTCTTTAGGGCCAGTTCACACCACAAACACACTCCGGATGAGTTTTGCTGTGTTCCAATACAGTTCTGTGCAGAACAAATGCAGCACATTCTACTTTTTTTCTTCACCAGAAACTGACTGGAACTGACTGCACTAGTGTGAACTAGGGCTATTAATAATTAATAAATGGAAAACACTGTGCAAACACACTCGACTGCATCTGGTGTGAACTAGCCCTTAAGTATTATATCTGTACAGAGCTCAGCTTCAAAGTGGAACTAAACCCTCCTCATCACTGAGGATAGTGCCAATATACCCTCATTTAGATCTACAGTTGCCATGGTGCTATACACTCGAGCAGTTAGGATACCAGCCATTTCAAGGCTTAAAGATTCAGTTGTCAGCAGACATAAGCGCAATGGCAACTGTGATGACCAAAATGTATTGCCTTGAATCTAGTGCTAGTGGTTAGAACAAAAATAGCACTGCAGAAATCTGTCATGTTTGATTAAAGATTTACTAACATTTCAGAACATTTCTATTGAGAAACAGTAAAATGTAAAGTTTATTTTCGGTTTAGGTAGCTTTCCTCTTTGAAGGCAACCTATCATGAGACAAATACGGAAGCTGCCACTGCTACTTAACTCTCTGAAAATGCGGATTCCCAGGATGTCATGCTGAGGCTAAGGCTTTACTAGAGTTACTGATTTAGAAAATAAATGGAAAGCGCAAATTCTGACATTACTCCAATTACTCTACAATTCACTTATGGCACATATGTTCAGGTCTGTGATTTGAAAAAGGACCTGAAAGCAGGCATAGCCTTTTAGCCTTTTTTCTTTAATGACAGATTTACTTCAGTTGAATTCTGAAAAAGTGCCAACGCACAGGCTCGTCATATTACCGTTCATCAAAACTCAGGTTGCGATCAGCAAACTGCTCTAGCAGGGTCCTCTCAATGATTTTCTTTGGCGCCTGGCTCTGGATGAAGTAAACAACCGCATGCTGTAGCCGATAATCGGTCTCTGGAGGGGGATCCTCTTGTGCTAGTTTCAATAACCGTGCATACTCTGTTTTGATGGCCTGAGAGAAAGAAAAAAAAAAGAGCAAAGCCACATTTGTCACATTAAAGCTGCAATCCTACAAAGAGAACAACACCACATTGAATAAATGGAAACAAAGTAATTTTAAAATTTAAAAAAAGTCCTAAAAAAGATACTACGTTGTTAACTATGGTATGTAACTGGAGATGGAAATTATTAGTGGACTACTGAAAGGCATTAGAAGCCTCTGGTCTATTTAGCCACTGTCAGCCACTGAAAATGAAACGCAAACCAGATTTTAAATGACAAATTAAAGCTATGCTAATAGTCTTCCTGGGATGACTACATTTACTGCAAGTACAAAAATCCTGTATTATCTCTCATCCATTGAGGGACACTGGAAGCTTTAAACTTCAGGATATCCAAAAGCAATCCATCTGAGGGGTGGCAAACACGCTATGAGGGTGAAAAAAAGAACAGAAACTGGTGACTAGCCTGCATCTCAAAGAGTTGCCTGAAGGACCAAGCACCCAAAGCTGGCATCAGAAGAGGCAGAAACCTCCACCTGGTAGAATGTGTGAATACAGAGTGTGAAAATACAACTGGGTGTCAGCCTTGTAAATGGGGTAAACCAATGCTTCATGCACTCGCAAATCTTCTAGAATGCACGTTCACAGGAAAAGGGTAGAAGTCAATCTATGGATGATGGAGTGTGAGTTAACTAGAGATGGAGGAGCGAGTAGCTGCTGCACCCTACTGGAAATCAGTCTCTCTTAAGGAAGCAGTGGTTGAGAGATTGACCCTCACAGCCAAACATCTAGACAGCAGAGGAAAATTTCCTTTTGGTTAACGGGATCTAGACAGAGGGGACAGAAGAATATCTAGGTTGAGGTGAAAGGCAGAAGCTACCTTAGGAAAGGAGGAAGTGCTGTGCCTCGACATCAACTGTTTTTTATCTAAATCCAGAAAGGGTTCCTTGCTAGATAGGGCCACGGTTCAATAATACTTCTCGCAGAGGTTATGACTAGAAGAAAAATCACCTTGTGGGTGAGAGTAGAGAGGAATGTAGTATTTCTAATGGGTTCAAGTTGCAGTTTAAGTGCAGAGAGATCAAGATTCACATCCCATGGAGTCACAGGGGAACGGATGGGGGAACTACATGGAGACCCCCTATACAAAGCTTCTAAGTGTTGAAGTGTTCTCTGGAACAAGATAGAAAGAGTAGAATCCAGACCTTTGATAGAGATGGCCAAACTCTCCACTAGACCCAACTACAGGAAGGAGAGATTTCATCCTAGGAAGAAACTCCAAGGGTGGAATCCCAGAGACTTACACCAAGTGAAGTATGCCCTTCATGTCCGATAACAGACTTTGAAGAAGTATCCTATTTATTTAGCATTTATAATCAAAGGAATCACAGATTCAGAGATGCCCCTGCCACTCAGAACCTGGGCTTCAACAGCCATGCCATTAAAGCCAGTGACTGTGAAGCAGAATGGTAAATCAAGCCTTGAGACAAAAGATCAAGGTAACCTGGTTTTGCTCATGGAATCTGATCAGGTTGACATGCACATCCACCTGGCCCAGTACCAAGTAATAAGGATTTGCAGATGGCCCTCCATCTTGATCTTGGGAAGCAGACAAGTTTCAGGGGACGACAGGCATATATCACAGTGTACTAATCTGAGGGAGCCACCATAGCATCCACTGCTTCTTCCAGAAGATCCTTGTATCTGGAGACAAACATATCCAGTTTTATGTTGAATTGGGAAGCCAGAAGGACCACATCCAATGTTTCCCATCTGCGACACAGGTCAAGGTAAACCTCTGGGTTTAAGGGCCAAGTCTGTCTGCCAATTGTCTATGCCTGTGATGTACAAGCCTGAATTGTGAAGGACAGAATCTGATATACCTTGGATGACTTTCCAGCAGGATGGTCCAAAGTTGCAGAAAACAGCAAAGATCACCCGAAGCTCCAGGGCGTTCATCAGGAGGCAAGAGAACTCCAATGAGCCAGGATTAAACAGTGGAAACAGGGTTCTAGAAAGGGCTTTCAACCACTTATATGCTGGGTCCTTAAAGAGAATAGCATCTTCTACTGGAATAGTAACCGCCAGATCTACAGTGGGAATACAACACTTTTTTAAATCACTTTTTAAGTGATTGAGGGGAAATAAACAGTTTATTATGGAGTTTTTCAAACTCTGTATAGAGATAGTTGGAATAACTGGTGCAAAGACAGGAAACAGCTCTGGCAGAAGCAACAGATTGATCCTCTAGTTTTAGAGTGGTGCACACTGCATTAGAAGAGCCAAAATGTACTCCTAATTTTGGAGTAATAGGGATACACTGAATCTCCTCAGGGTCAAGGTCATCAGACAGAGACTGGAGTGACTCAGAAATGGACAAAGTCTCTGCAGTTGATGGCTCAAAAGCTAAGGCAGAGGTAAACCAGATATAGGAACTGAGAAAGAAGACACCAGAGAAGGCTTGTAGCCTTGAAGGTCAAAGTCCACAGTGTCTAGAATTAGACATGTTGCAAATGTGTGGCAATAAAATAACATAAGGCTCAGGGTAAAAGGAAGTTACTCATGAAACCCAAACAGTTGGTAGCGGATGGTGAGTTAAATGGTCAGGGGTGACAAAAATCACTGTGGCAGGCATCAATAGATTGAAGTTCCATATGGCTCCCCTGCAAGAAGAAACAGCAATGAGAGATGCTTCCTGAATGCTGTATGGTGGATAAATAGAACAACACTCCACCCAGGCAAATTATATCAGCGCTTAGTCCCCTTGCACAGTGGAAACCAGCAGGAATGGAAAATTTAAAGGTGGCCAGTGACCTATGCAGATGAGGCAGTTCCTGATACTTGGACCAACTGGCCTTACAAAGTGACTGTTGAGACAGGGCAAGTGCTGAAGCAATGACATGGACTCTGAATTTGGAAAGCTCTTCACAGCTAACTTTTACCAGAACAGAGTCTGGAAAGCACCCCATGTGAACCAGTGCCAGAAAATCACTTCTAGGATATCCTTGCAACATCCAAACCTGTGAGGTCCAGCCGCAGCAATCCAAAGGCCAGGTCAGATGACTGCAGTCGGAGAGACAAGTTCTAGCATCAATGTAGAGAAGAGTTTAAATTGAAGATAAAAAGAAAAAACAAACCGTAACAAAATGTTCTTGCAAAAATGGGTTAGTCTTTTCTGCATTGTTCTAGCACAACAGCAAAAAACAGAGGCATGCTGGTAGTAGATGGGAATTATCCTGAGATGGCCTACACGGTTTTGTTTTTACCAGTGTCCATTCCTCCTGTAGGCAGTAGTATAACCTGGAAGACTTCCCATGTCCTTCAATGGGTGAAAAACACTTTTTTTAGGCATGCATCAAGATGCTTGTAAACACACCACGACACATCACTGTGCGCTGGTGTGCATTATAATTTTCCGCAAATCAATATAAAAGACACATTCAAAAACAGAAATGTAATTTTTACTATCCTATAGTTCCAATTTAGTAAAGCTAGGCCACCAACAAAACGCAAAATGAAACTCCAGTTTGAGAATACAAAAAATCCCCACCATACCCCACCCTCAGTGAATTATATAAGAAAAAAGTTGGCAACAATGTTAAAATTCAAAGCTGGTTTAACTCTATTGATCTGGCCAAACAATCCCTGCCTGGGAAACTCCTCCTTTTCTTAGAAGGAGGAAGTGGAGATCTCTTGTCTGGCACTGAAGTTAGACCATCATTAAATTTTAAGGGAGTACCACCTGCTTTCTCCTCGATTTTTTGGCTGTTTGTGGTATAGGACAAGCCCTTGTCTGATTTAGGACACCCAGCTTTTTGTACTAGTGAGCGGTGCACACACCTTTGGGTAAATTAAATACATGACAAGGGTTTTGGTAAACTACTTCAGATTCTTACTTTCCACTGTTCTGAAAACATTGATGTAAACCTTTCCAGCATTTATTCAAACTAATTGGGAGAGTCTGACTTCATTATAACTAAATCCAAGTGGAACAGTGATAAGTACATAAAAGTTTATCTATGCCCTGATTGTCATCTTCTACTAAGATCTGTTTGGAGAACATGGATGGATCATGCATCAAGTGCTGGTATATGGCAATGTCTCGAGATATAGGTAAGCTGCTTTTCTCTTACTTCATTATCAGCATCAGTTTATCATTTTATCGAACAAGGGTACTTATATTAGTGACACTCGTTTAAAAGGCAGAAAGAATGGATGTATTGCACATAAGATATTTGTACAGTGATGAACAGAAGTATTTTGAACACCCTGCGATTTTCTCCCACTTAGAAATCATGGAGGGGTCTGAAATTCACATTGTAGGTGCATTCCCACTCTGAGACAGAATTCAAAAAAAAAAAAAAAATTCAGGAAATCAGATTGTATGATTTTTAAAGAATTTGTCTTGCACTGCTGAACATAAGTATTTGAACACCTAAGAAACAGCAAGAATTCTGGCTCTCAAAGACCTGTTACTCTGCCTTCAAAAAGTCCACCTCTACTCCACTCATTAATCTAACTTAGTAACACCTGTCTGAGCTCTTTAAAGACACCTGTCCACCCCACAGTCAGATGCCAACTACTACCATGGGCAAGACCAAGGAGCTGTCAAAAGACACCAGAGACAAAATTGTGGACCTCCACAAGGCTGGAAAGGGCTACGGGGCAATTGCCAAGCAGCTTGGTGAAAATAGATCAATTGTTGGAGCAATAGTTAGAAAATGGAAGAGGCTAAAGACGACTGTCAGATTCCCTCGGACTGGGGCTCCATGCAAGATCTCATCTCGTGGGGTATCACTGATAAGAAAGGTGAGGAATCAGCCCAGAGCTACAAGGGAGGAGCTGGTCAATGACATGAAGAGAGCTAGGACCACAGTTTCAAAGGTCACTGTCGGTAGAACACTACGCCGTCATCATTTCAAATCATGCATTGCACGGAAGGTTCCCCTGCTCAAGTCATCACATGTCCAGGCCAGTCTGAAGTTTGCCAATGACCATCTGGATGATCCAGAGGAGGCATGGGAGAAAGTCATGTGGTCAGATGAGACCAAAGTAGAATTTTTGGTCTAAACTTCGCTCGTCGTGTTTGGAGGAAAAAGGATGAGTTGCATCCCAAGAACACCATCCCTACTGTGAAGCATGGGGGTGGTAACATCATGCTTTGGGGGTGCTTTTCTGCGAAGGGGACAGGACGACTGCACTGTATTAAGGAGAGGATGAATGGGGCCATTTATTGTGAGATTTTGAGCAACAACCTCCTTCCCTCAGTCAGAGCATTGAAGATGGGTCGTGGCTGGGTCTTCCAACATGACAACGACCCGAAGCACACAGCCAGGATAACCAAGGAGTGGCTCCGTAAGAAGTATATCAAGGTTCTGGAGTGGCCTAGCCAGTCTCCAGACCTAAATCCAATAGAAAATCTATGGAGGGAGCTGAAACTCCATGTTGCTCAGCGACAGCCCTAAAACCTGACAGATCTAGAGGAGATCTGTGTGGAGGAGTGGGCCAAAATCCCTGTTGCAGTGCAAACCTGGTCAAGAACTACAGGAAACATTTGACCTCTGTAATTGCAAACAAAGTCTTCTGTACCAAATATTAACACTGATTTTCTCAGGTGTTCAAATACTTATATTCAGCAGTGCAAGACAAATAAATTCTTTAAAAATCATACAATGTGATTTCCTGAATTTTTTTTTTTAAATTCTGTCTCTCAGAGTGGGAATGCACCTACAATGTGAATTTCAGACCCCTCCATGATTTCTAAGTGGGAGAACTTGCAAAATCGCAGGGTGTTCAAATACTTCTGTTCCTCACTGTAAGTACTGTAGATACACAGGGCCCCATGTGATTTTAAAACATTTTAAAAAGGTGTGAAGGTTTTTACTTACAAAAGTAACATTTTTTAATCTTACGTTTTGTATGGAGCCAGTCAAAATGCCAGTTAAGAATTCAATTTTTTTTTTTTTTTTTGCAAAATTTCAAATGATGCTACTCCAAGAAGGGTAATGAAGAATGAGGGTAAAAAAAAAAAGGTATGTAACTTGGCTCTCCATCCCAAGGCAAAATATGCCAGCAGTGATAGCATTGCAATCCTGTTCAGAGCTCCTAGAGAGTCATAATTCTCAGATATCAATCCTTTTTACGGGGCAATACCGGGTAGACACTAACATCTTACAATACCTGGTTCTCTCTAATACCTTCTGATAATTTCACAGATATCCCAAGAGTAAGCAAACTTTAGCTAGCATATGAAGAGCAAGGCAGTAAGGAGGCAAACCAAAATAAGGCAGCTTTTCAAGAGATCACTGGGATAGGAGGCTCAATGCTCATGGGTGGTTTCTACATGTAATGGCGTTTCGGTCATATGAGAATCTCGGCACTTATAAAACATTAAATATGTCCATTCTTTCATTATTGTTTAAGTTGTGCCAGGAGTTTAGATATACTACACAATTCACAACAGTCTATACCTCAGAGCTACAAGACATTTCTAAAAAAAAAAAAAAAAAAAAAAAAAAAAAAGGATGCAGTTGTAAACAGATTTACAATGATAGATGAATGCGCAAATGATTAACAGAACATCATTACTAAAGTCATACATAGGGGTTATAAGGTCCATAATTATTCTTTGGAAATTTTGAACATTCTCATTGTTCTGATTCTTACAGTGGCTCTGTTCATACTACAGCAAGCAGAACATTGGTGTAACAGAAATAAGAACCAGGTTGCTTGTGAACCATTAGTGCAGCTATTCTCAACCAGGGTGCCGTGAAATTCTAGGATGTCTTCAGAGGTTTTTAAGCACTGGAAGACTGACATCCAACCTGATGGTGCCTGCATAGTCCTGGGCCAATGGCATGACAATGTTTTTAGCTGTCTGAAAGGATGGCATTATTTCCTCTGACCATCAAGGGAAGATAAATTCTATGATTTCCAATGAAATAATGCACTCTTAACGGAGCAGCAACTGCCATGTATGGGGCACTTTTCCTCTCACTGAACACAGGTTCAAGGGGAAATCCCTCTCGTGGACCATTAATATTAGGCAACAACTCCCCCACTGACAATAAGCTTAAGGGAACCTTCACTGAACACAAACAGAAGGAGGAATGTTTCCAATGACCACCAATGTAAAAGTGAGTCTTTTCTAGACATTTATTTAAATTTAAAATTATTACCATACAGATCAGGCGGTGTTCAAAATGATTCACCTTTGCGGGCCAAGGAATTACTAGCCCTGTCTGAAGACTTCCTGCAGAACTATGAACATCTCTGCACTGAATATTAGGCATGCTCCTGATTAGTCAGGAAGAAATGAATCACATCATTGCTGCCTACTGGGACTTGGTGTACAGGGAATTGTAGTTCTGAGGGAGAATACTGCACAATAAAAGAACTTTTTAAAAACAGTTATAGTCTAAACACTCAAAACCCTTTACCTGGCTAAAAGGAAATTACGGACAAAAATTATTAACCCCAAAATCAAGGATTATGTGTCCCCATGTTCAGCAAAATGTACTAAATCACTGCCGACCTTCAGCAGCCATCATGGCGTATGGTAGTCAGAGCACTGCTTGCAAGAAATCCCTTGAACACTGCCTAGAAGGATCAGAGGCTTCCCAAGAGTGCTATGATTCCTTGTGAACCCAGCACAATCATTTCTGTATTCCATTTTTGTGATAATGCCTTTCCCTTTCTGTGCAGTACCTGGACAATATTTAGGTGGACTTTCTGGTTGTAGCACAAATGCAAGATAACCTAGACAGCTTTAGCGGTCACGGATTAAACTTTAGATGCAATGGGTTGCGGCAGTGGAGGAACATACAGTAGATAATATGAATCACAAAAAGATGGGGAAAAACTTTAAAAAACTAAAGCCTTTTTGGTTATGAAGAGCTGCAGTTTTATTTAAACTTTCACTAATCCACACCTGCAAGCCCCAAAGCTAAACTACACAAAACAACCCAAACCTCCCCTGCTTACTTACTTTAGATCCAGAGTCATGGCCACCACTGTTGTTTACAGCCTTTAAACAGAAAAGGCAACAGCTCTGCATCCAGGGTAAGTAAGCAGCACCAGAGGGCTGTGTTACTGTGGTTCAACTTTGCTGAACGGTGGTTGTAGCTTAGCACAAGTTTAGATAAAAGCACACACAGGAAATTTTGGGAGTTTTCTAGGTCACCGGTAGAAGTTACCCATTGAGCCCTGTGATAACTAAAACAAGTGTTCCATTTCATGCAGCTTTTGATGCTGCCACCTCAGTGAGCCTCCCTTCAGAGTGCCTTGGTGAATGGTTAACACCTAACCATTTTATTATCTCTCACACACACACTATAAATAATTTTTCTACTTTGTGAAAGACGTTCAGAATTTGAAAAAGCTCACTGCATGGGACAAGACATAAAATTAACAGAGCTGGAAGCAATAGAAAAGGTTATCTCCCTGTGCCTATATCTCCTAACGTCTTAATTTGCCTAAAATAACAAAATATCACTATGAAGTTTTTGAAAGCTGCAATTCCACTTTTTTTTGGGGGGGGGGGGCACACTAATATAAGCGAGAATGTGAGAGAGCAAATTGGACTGTGACACTGAAAAGCAGAGAAAACCAAAGCAAATATCCATGAGACAAACCAATGCCAACAGCAAATGAAAACATGTTAGGAAGTTGTACCTTAAAGAACCCAGCTTCAGGCCCACACATGTCATACACATTCCTGGATTTACCTATGGCCATGATGATACCTTGCATGTTCGGGGTCATCATGACCTGCCACAAAGGATTTCAGTTTTAATGATCATCATATTGTTCAACAGTGTAACAGAGCACAGGCATGCAAACATAAGATTTCTTTTGCAAAGCAAGTCACCACATGCATGTGCCACGAAGCGTGTGCTAGCAGTACATCGGAGCAGGTTAATAAATGTAATGAAGTGTGGGATGTGAGATGAAGACTGCCTGCAAACATAACAATGGTGGCTGAAGCAGGTATAAGACATTTAGCAGACCCAGACACCACCGGTAAGCACTGAAAATACATTGGCTTAACAATTAAGACAAAAATATATAATGGAAATACATGTTGCAAACATTTTTATTTATCTCTCCGTGCAGTTTATGAACTCACTGGTAGTGGGTGCCTCTATGTACCCTTTTTGCCATAATGACAGACTTCATTTTACTTAATCCAGCAATCCACCCACTCCTTTTCCCATTAACAACCAAACCTATCATAATGAAATTATTAGTAAGTATCAGTAGAATTAAAAGGGGATAAATGAATTTATAACACTCTGAACTTTAAACTTTAGTTATTAAAGTTCTAACCAACACTAATCCATATGCCCTGCTCCCATTTCAGACTGTACTCATTTTTATAAGATATATATGCACATTAACCTAAGAGAAGTTGATGGCCAGGAAGTATTTACACCCAACTAAAGGCCTTTACAGTACTACGCCTGCATTCTACATCAGACGAGTGTAGGTGGAACATTGTGCAAACCACCAGCTACAGGAAATGTGAATGTCTTAAGGGATAAAGACGGGAACAATTGAATATTCTATACTAATATAAGCTATAAATAAACTAGTGTCCTCACAGAACCCAGGAAATTTGTAAGACATGTTCCTACACTTCATACAATTACAACAGAATATTTTTTAAAAGCTGGCTATACGCTTAGGGGCCAATTTTAAATAGCATCAATATGAGCGCAAAAAGGAAAAAAAAAAAAAAAAAAAAAAAAAAAAAAAGCTAGGATGCAAGCTTAGTCAAAGTCATGTGACCAGCTTTTCTTCAATCACAGAGCTCTCTTTGCTGTGTTACTATAGCGTACTACATTTTGTGAATGGAATAATACAGCGGATAACGAAGCAGTATCTGTTTTCTGCTATAAGCATATGCCTCTTAGTTTGCTTGGTCAGTTCCACAAAACTAACCAAAAAATCTATAACATAATCCCCAGTCTTAAAGTGATTATAAATAACAAAAAAGCTACAATTTCTGGGGAAATTGTGTGAAGTGTTCTTGCCTCCACCAGTAGTCTACAACTGGAGTGGGTGGAGTAACTGGGTGGAGTGGCTTGTCAATCTGCTGCCTGCTCACACACCTGAGTTCCTACGGCACAACAAGGGCAGAGAAGAGAGGTTAAAAACAAACTGCTCCAACTTGCTCACTTCACTGGCGGTTGCCATCTTCAAATGGTTGTAATTTAAAAATTATAAATCCTACACCAAAGAGCTTTATAATGTGAGAATCACAAGACCCAGACCTACATTTTGATGCATAGTATGTCTCTGAAACATTAAAAATGAAGGCACAGTCGCAGTTTATAAATTGCCCTTCAAATTTGAGGTGGCTAGAGTGGAGTTTCAATGAATGTCAATGGGCAGCATGAGTTGCAAACAAATGGTCATATTGTGAAAACTATCAGGACTATGGCTTAGCCGGGGACATTTTTAGTGGCAGCAGGGATAGCTGAACGTTTTGATATAAGATATGTGTAGGTGGGCATGAAAATGAGGGAGTGATGGCAGTTTAGAAATCATGTCCTGATTTTTCGGATTCCACTCTAGTTTTGAACATACCACCATTCATTCCTATGGGACCAATTTCACCACAAAAACGCTGATATTTCGTGAACCATTCGGTGAAACGTTCCACAAAGTAATAGCACACCAATTGGGAACAATCCGCACGTTTCAGTATATTACTGTCTATGTAGTGTAAAAACTGTGGGAGGGGTTAGGGTGGTAAATTTGGCTATAATAAGAATATATACATGTGAGATAACAGTAAGTGGTCTTGCCGTGCAAGAACACTTAATAACAAAATAGGTTTATACTTACAGGCGTCCTTCGGTTTATGAATTTAATTCATTCCATGGGACTTTTCGTTTGAAAAGCGGTTTTCCCATAGGAATGCATTGAAAACCAATTAATCACTGCACTTCAGTGCACTTTAATGGCATACTGTACAGGGACATGATTAAAAATTAATTTATAAATGCATTGAAAACCAATTAATCCGTTCTGGAGGTCAGAAAAAAGTAAAAAAAACAGTCTTCTGTTCAAAACTTTATAAAGTGCACTTTAAAGGCATAGTACTGTACATGATTAAAAAATCGTAAATGCATTGCAAACCAATTAATTCGTTCACGTTGCGAAACAAATTTGCAAACCGAGCCATTATTTTCAATGGATTTTCATTCATAAACCAAAAATTACATTTTTCGAGGCGTTCGTAAACCGAGGTATACCTGCTCTGTGCAATGGAATTGTACAGAGTGGCCCCGGAACTACTATTCTCAGGGCCCCTGCCCAGCACTCCGGGCTCCTCCCCTCCGAGTGCTCCAAAGAGTCACTTTTTATGGGGGTACTTGTACATACTGACTCCCGAGCCTCGCGGTCTGTGTCTAATGACACAGACAGCAGGACGCGGCTCTGCCTCCTCATTACTGGCTTTGGTTGATAGCAGCAGGAGCCAATGACAAATGGTCAATAGCAAAGCCGAGACACCATGAAAGTGAGGGGAGAAAAGAGCACAGTGCTGGATTGAATGTGGAATCAGTTAAATAAAGATGGGGGGGGGGGGGGATGGCGGTGATACTGAGGTCTAAAACAAGGTATGCATTAAGGTAAAATAAAGTTTTTTTGCTTCGTTTGGGATATACTGCTGAGGGATTTAAAACACATTAAGTTGTCATTGCCGCCTGCAGTCCTATTACGGAGATTTACTTTTGAGTTTTGCATGGGAACATAAAAAAAGGAGAATTGTTCCAATTCATTCTGGGAACAATTGTTTAATATCGAGATTTTCTCTTACTTCCTGTGGTGTAAACTAGATACAAAGATGAGAGAAATCTCTTGAATGGAGCACAATTGACGAAAAAAAAAACCCTGATGGGTTTTATCATTTCTCTACTCTATCCCAAATGGCTTTAGATAAACTTTAAAGCAGGGGTAGGCAACCATAAAGAGACTGAGAACTATATGAACAACATGGGAGAAGTCAACTATCACTAGGCCCAGTGTTACCTCCTCACAACTGATTTAAACCTCAAAATGTCGTACTACCGTGTCACAATTGCATACAATGGACAGCAATACTGAGTTTAAATCAGGTACTGAGGTGGTAACATTGCCTCCTCACCACCTATCAAATACACTCGCTTTTCACTTTTCAGAAGAGCAACAGTGCCGCTGCACTTGTGAATGAGCCCTTAGTTGCATTGGGCAGTAGCACTTTACAGGTAAAGTTGGGGTTGGTAAAACCCTACGGTTGAGTCACGGTTTTAACTCCACCAATCAATACCCCCTTTAGCTGCTGAAGTAGCAGCCAAAGGTAAACACATCCTGCAGCAGGAATTAAACCCACGTTACTTCTGGTGGGTGCTACTGCCAGACAATGGTGACACATTCAAGTAAATGGGGCCACTCTGCAAGTACCCCGCAGTTGCATGCTTCTGCAGGGTCCAAGGATCTAAAGCAGCTGGTGAGAAAGCAGCACAATGCTGCCTGCTTTAATACCTTGTTTGCTGTACTGCACAAGGTTGCAGGGCACTTGCAGAGCGGCCTCATTCACTTGAATGGATCATGCTTGGCAGGTGCAACACTCACCATCCATGACGGGGCATATAACTCTTGCTGTGGCTGCAACATGTGTATTCCCCTGGTCACTGCAGCTAAAGGGGTTCTGCTGGGGCAGGGGTGATAAAAACACCTCATAACAATGGGGTTTTTACTACCACCCAAAGTGCAGATGTTAATGAACCCTTACTGTTCTGACAGGATATCGTGACAAAAAATGGACCAAATCAGCCAAGATAGACTGCAGCACTGGGTCACCAATCTCCACTCCTTGAAATGGTGTGGTTGGAGGACACATGATGGCACAGTAGAAAAAGGTATTGTAGGGCATTTTTTATATATATAAAAAAAAAAAATGTTTGAGCGAAGAGCGGGAGGAGAAAGAGGCATAACTTTTGCTCAGGCATGGGTTTAAGCCCTTGTTTATACCGGTGCAACTTGCCAAGTGATATTTCAGTTTCAAATCGCAAGTCGCACCCCATTGTACATAAAGAAACCATTCAAATTGGTGCGACTTGCAGTGCGATTTCAGCTGCGAATTGCATAGACATAAGTGCTTGAAGTCTGACTTGGTTTTACTAAACCCTCATTTAAATTAAAAAACAAAACAAAAAAAAAACAACAAGGAAGGAATTTTTTCCCTTGCAGGAGCAAATTGGGTCATGCTTTGCTGGGGTTTTTTTTTTTTTGCCTCCCTCTGGATCAACTGTGGGTATAGGATTATAACTTGTTTTTTGTGGTTGAACTGGATGGACTTGTCTTTTTTTCAACCGGACTATAACAAAAAAAAAAAAAAGTTTAAAAAGAAAAAAAAAAAAAAACTAGTGACTGAACAAATCCCTCAACCTGTTTGGCTGCATATGTCGTAGCATACTGTATGTTGTGTAGCCCCAGTGGGAATGCCATTCCAAGGTGATAACCCTGTTCCTGCATAGACACGTAAGAAGACTTGTAGGAAGTTTTGTAATAGAAGTGCAGTGCTAAGTGACCCAATGTGTATATAAAATACCTTCAAAAAGAATACAACTGTATAATTAAAATTTATACAGAAAAAAAGTGCACAGACACCTCATTCAAAAAGTAGTGAATAACATAACAATGTACCCATAACTTAAAAAAAAAATGCACATGAAAGTGTCCAACAGAAATTAAAATCACAGTGGATCAAATTACAAAAT